ATAAGTATAAAGGTAAAAAGCTAAAGTCTACTTTAGAAACTATAGAAAAAGAGATATAGTAGAGTATTTACGCGTTTTATATATCTCTAAGAGAATAATTAAAAGTTAAATATATATTTTATTACTTTTTAGAAGCTTTATATAGAAATAAAAAGTAAAGAAAGCTATAACTATAAAGATATAGTAATAAATGTCTAAAAAGTATTTAAATTTATTTCTAAAAAAAAAACTATTAAGTAGAAAAATAGTAAGGTATAGTAGTTTATAACTCTTAGTTAATAATAACTCTAAGCCTATTATATAATAGCTATTCTAAAGTAGTAGAAGAGTCTTATATATATAATTATACTAGACTTTTTAGCTATAGTTATAAAAAGTAAATTCTCTACTTATTATTTTCTTTTTTCTTTTTTGTTTCTTATCTTTTTTATCTTATATATCTTTTATATCTTTTTTCTCTTTATCTATTAATATAGTAACTATATTATTAATAAAAGCTCTTATTATCTCTAAGACTTATATAGACTATTCTATACACTAGCTTAATTTATAAAATACTAGTAGAGCTCTAATTAGAACTATTATAGATTAGTTTTATACTAGCTTATAGATTTTCTAAGTAGTTCTAGTGTATACCTTATATTAACTCTAAGACACTATTCTAGAATTTAGTTTTATTACCTTCTTTACTATTAGATAGATATAAAAAGTTTTAAATAAAAGCTTTTATAGCTTTTAAATTAAACTAAAACTTTCTTAATATATTTATATAAATTATACTTTAGATATACGTTAATACTAATCTTAGTAAATTAGAAAACTAGATTATTATTTTATAAGTTTATTTAGCTAAACTAAATTAATATTAAATTAGTATTTTTAAGTATAAAGTATCGCGTTTATAAATCTAGTAGATCTCTCTAAATAAACTATTATACTCTTAATTACTTAAGATATATTAAAGTTATTAAATACTAGAGTTAAGAGTAGTATATCTTAAGATCTTTACTAGAATTATTAAAACTATAGCTTCTTATATAAAATATATCTAGTAAGCTTACCTATTATTTAAAATCTATTAAAAAAGTTTTAGTTATATACTTCTATTTACTAACTTAGTATTAAAAACACTTTAGATATTAAGTTTTATATTCTAATCTATTTAAGAGATTCTATAACTTAATTACTATAGTAAGCTAATAGATTCTTTATTAACGTTACTTTAAATTAAAAAGTATTTTTCTATTTTAAAGTATTAATTATATCTTGTATTTTTTAAGTTTATTTATAAATACTTTATTTAAAAAAATATCTAAGAAATACCTTTAGTAAAAGAAGTATACTTATAGCTAGAAGTAGTAATTTTGTAAATATTAGATCTTAGCTATACTAGATAGAATTAAATAGTAAGTATTAATAGTTACTTATAGAAAACTAGGTAAGTTATTCTTTTAATTACTCTAATTAAAAGATATCTAGATTATACTTAAAAACTATATACCTTTTGTACTCTTAATATTTCTTAGTTATAGTTTAAACTAAATTATAAGTAGTAAATATCTATAAGTAATAGTAAAGTTTTTTATATTTTACTATTATATATTATTCTATTATTATAATTACTAATTAGTAGAGCTAGTCTACTTAAATAAGTAGACTATACTAAAGTTATTAGGTACTAATAATTTATCTATTTTTATTATTAATATAATAGTATTAAAGTATATAAATAACTCTTTGCTATTATATAGTAAATATTTAAGATAAGACTATAAATAGTACTTTAGAAATAGTATTTCTAGTAATAAGAAGCGTTTATTACTATAGAGATCTTTCTAATATATATATTATAGATGTACCTAGTAGAAGTTAATTTAAAAAAAGATAAAATTCTTAAGTAAAATATATTAATACTATAAAGCTAAGTCTTAAATTATATAAGATTCTAAATATTATTACCTTAAAAGTATTAGTTTATTACTTAATATAGTAATCTAAAGTAATAGTTCTTTATTTCTAAGCTTTTAGTTAATATTTTTATAACTCTTCTTTAAACTTTTATAGCTTTTATATCTATTAATATTAAAATTAAGTTCTACTATTACTAATAGTAGCTATTATAATTAAGGTTTAGTAATTACTAAGTAATTTAGTTAAAAAAGGTAGCTACTCTAGATTACCTCTAAATTAAGTGTTCTAGTAGAAAATAGAACTAGAATAAATCTTTATACCTTTAATAGGAGCTAGTATAATTATATACTAATATTTATTAGTATACTTAGCTTCTATTACTATATATTTTATAGATCTATCTGTTTTTAAGTAAGCTTTATTTAAATTATATTACTAATACTTTTATATCCTTATATATAGCTTATACTAAGTAAGTAAAGATAAATTTTTAATACTTAGTAAAGAAATATCTTTTTTTTTAATAAGTAGTTATAGCTCTTATTAAATTATATATACCTTATAGTATATACTAAATTTATATTCTAGAATATAACTTATAAAGCTTTATAATAGTACTAAGAAATATTTAAAGTAAGTATATAGAGAACTAAGCTATTATATAAATTACAATTCTTAAGTACTAGTTTAGTACTAGAAATATTATAGATTTAATTATAAAAGATTAGTAAATATTAAATTATATTACAAACCTAATTTAGAAGTAAAAGTAAATAGTAGCTAACTTATAGCTAAGGTAAGTAATTTACCTTTTATATAAAAATAAAGACTACTATTTAAAAGATACTAGTTAACTTAACTTATAGTTAGATTTTTAAATCTATCTAGAGATAATAATTACTTTACTTAGTAATAAGCTATATAGAAGTTAAAACTTACTAATTTCTTCTTTAAAAGTTTAATAATATTATATTCTATTTTAATTTAAATAGCTAATTAATTCTATTATAAAAAAGCTTTAGCTTAGAAATTATATATTATTAATTTAATATACTTCTTTAAAAGCTTTGTTAAGAATAGCTATAAAGAATCTTATTCTATCTATTAGACTAGCTATAAGAGTTCTATGTACTCTTAGATTATTATTTAAGTTTCTAGTTTACTTTCTTAACTTAATATAGAATAAAACAAAAGTATATCTAAGTTACTATTACTTTAGTATCTTATGCCTAATTCTATAAACTCTATTTAATTAAAAGATATTAAAAAACGCTTAGCTTCTAGGTTATTCTAGAATAGCTAGAAGATTTTAAGATTTTAAGATTTTTATCTATTTAGTGTATATTACTATTAGTACTAAGGCTTCTAGATAGACTAAGACTATATACTTATTTATATAAATTCTAAGAAGTTTACGTAGCTTTTATAAACTAATAATATAGTAGTAATAAAAGTACTATAATATTTTTTATAGTATTTATTCTCTAATAACTATAAAGTAATAACTATTTCTTAAAGTCTAAATAGAACTTATAGTAGTTTATTATACCTACTATTTAATAAATTATATCTTTCTATAAAACATAAGCTATAAATACTATATTCTTTTTATTTTATATTTTAGAACTTTTATAAAGTATTTTAGCTAAGGCCTTATATTACTAATATATAGCCTTTTTAATAGCTAGAAATAGTAATAGTATTACTATAAGCTTTACTACGTATATAAAGTTATAAAGAAAAATAGTATAAGTAATAAGCTTAGTATTAGTAAATTTTATAAAAGAGTAGTATTACTATCTTACTATAAGTAAAGTATTAATATTATATCTAATAAAAAGCTTATATATCTTACTAATAAGCTTCTAAAAGATAAAGCTAAAAATAATTATAATAAAAGACTTTATACTAGTTATATATATAATAGAAATAATAAAAATAATAAAAGTAATAAAAATAATAAAAATAAAGATAAAGAAAGTATTAATAAGCTTAGCGTATAGCTTTAAAGTACTAGTAAAGTAGTACTATAAAGTACTTATAATAGCCTTTAGTATAGCTAGAATAAAGTAGTTTATAGTAGCCTTTATAATAGCTTTTAGAATAATAATCTTAAAAAAACTTATAAAGTAATAGTAACGCGTTTAAAAGAAAAGTAATTAATTAATAATAAAAAGTATAATTAAGCTTTTATAAGTAAAGTAATATAACTAGTAATAAAATTAGCTTTAGACTTACTAACGCTAGAAAAACTTATAAAAGAGGTATTAGTAATATAGTTAAGAAATTATTTAGTATACTAGTATAGCTTTAGTATTAGATTTAAGCTACTATTTATATCTTTAATAAGTTTTTAGATTCTTAATTTACTATAAGCTATAAAATAAAAATAAGAATAGAGATAGAGATAAAGATAGAAATAAAGAATAGAAAATAAAAAGTATATATATAGAAGTATAATTTTATAAGCTAAGATTTTAGTATTTTATTACTTTATAATTTATAGCTTAGTTAGTTATAAGCTATTAAAAATATATAATTATATTATAATTTTTTCTACTATAGTATAAGTAGATATTAGTATTTATAAAATAGTTACTTTACTACTTTAAATTTTTAAAGCTTTAACTACTAAGCTAAAAGTAGTAGTACTAAAAACTTAAGCTTTAGTTTACTTAGCGCTTATACTTCTAAATATAAAACTTTAACTCTTTTAAAAATATATTTTTTTATATACTAGTAATAGACTTTACTTTTTTTAAACTAGCTTACTATAAAATTATTAGTTTACTAATAAATTAAGTTACTATTACTTAAGTAAGAGAATATTAAAGAATTTATCTAGCTTTCTAGAATTTTAGATTAATACTAAAACTCTTTTTTCTTTTTTTATAGACTAGTTATAGAGCTTACTCTATTTAAAATAGCTTACTATAGAATTATTAGTTTACTAATAAATTAATTTATAGCTTATAAATAATTTAATACTATAACTATACTAGTAGAGTCTATACTCGCTTAACCAAGCCTAGCCTAGGCTAATCTAGAGGTATCTAGGGCTGTCTGCGACTAAGAGGTTGTAACACTGTCTATTGTGTGCAGCAGAACGAGTACGAGCCGTTAACGACCGCAAGACCAATACCCGAGTTGTTGCTACCGCGCAGGTGCGTTTCCTCCCACTCGCGTAGGTCCGTCTCTTCATCAAGCGGTTCGCTCAGCGTAGGCGACACTGTAGAAACATCCTTGACGTGTTCCAGCCATGCCACAACTGAATCTGACACGCTGAAACCCAAACCCTGAGAAACCACGCTATCACGGCGACACAACGCCTCATCGTCTGCTTGGTTGCCATCATCTTCCTCAAAATCACCATTCCCCTCTTCTCTATCCCTACCCTCCTCGGCGGCGGCGGCGTCGTCGTCTTCTTCGCTTGAAGCAATAGGTGACACGAGCTCCTCCTCGACATGCACCTCTACAACATCCCAAACCCTACCATCATCCCTCGTCCACGCCTCAGTCCCATTCAACGGACTAAACGGCGATTCGCCATACTCTTTCATGCAATCGATTGTAGCCAGCTTCACCGAAAGCTTCACGCCAGGTTCGCTACCCACGGGTGGCACGCTTGGTATCTCGCCGCTAGGCCACAGCTTTGGTAACGCTGCAGCGAAGGTCTGCCAGGCACGTTGTTTCCCATTTGCAGCCCACTTCTGTCGGTAGCGGGCGAGGGTGCCGGATAGGCCGTCGCAGTAGATTTGGTGCTCGACGAGTGTGATGGTCTCGGTGATGCTTGTTGGATTCGGGAATGGTGGAGAGGAAGGGAGGTCAACGAATGGTTTGCAGACGCGCACCAACTGCGTTCTAGTAGACCGACTATCCCTCGTTTCTTCCCGTCCGGTTTCGTTCTCTTCCGTGCGCATAGCACCCTTGTCTGTCCACCGTTGCGCATCCCACCCCGGATTCACCACCGTAGGGTCCCCCCACCCCCCCTTCCTCGCCCAGAAGTAATAATGCGGTACATCGCACCCGGGAAACCTAACAAAAAACAAGTTCTCCAAGCTCTTCTTGCCCACACCATCTCGAACCAGCTCACCATACCCCAAATAAGCAGGCACATAACACATAGCCAACGGCCGATACCGCGACGCCTCATACACCTCCGCCGTCATCTTCGCCTTATTCCTCTGCCGCTGAGTATGGCGTGCAGCGCGATCACTAGGGTCACCATTGCCTTTCCCTTTGACGCGCAGCAACTTTCTGTTTTCGAGATACCATTTGCTGTATGTATCGGCTAGCACTTTCGTCTCGTTTCGAGAGCCGAGGTGGAAGTACATGTGTCCATTGCAGCCCTGAATGAGCGTGCGTTGAGCCCAATCCGTACCTCTCTCGATAACGGCTTTGCGGAGTGGGCCGAGGAGATGACCGTTACGCGCTGCGGATCGGATCAAGGGTTTGAGGATGGGTACGAAATCCGGAGCGACGCCTGGTGGGTATTTCGCTCCGGGTAACATAAGCTTTTGCTTGCTATACATCGTTGTAATCTTCAGAGGTGCATAAGGTACAGGACAGGGCAAGGGCAGCGGACACCATCTTTTGTAATCCCAACCTCCGGGTTTTGCTGATGGCATGGTTTGGTTGGGCCATTCGAAGAGGCGGAGTCTGCATCCAGGCTCGTTGATTCGGTTTACTGATGCAGCACTTGACTCTGAAGAACTGCTGTCCCATGACTCCTCACTGAGCGCCTCACCGAATCTCTCGCGGTTGTACTCGTTCCCTGCGTCTTCGTCGTCTTCCGAGTCGGGATCACTCACAGTGTCGTCACTGACGCTTTCGTCACGCTCTCTCCTCTCCTCTTTCTCTCTTCTTTTCTTTTGCTTAGCAATGAGCTGTGCCTTTTTCTCTGCAGCCTTTCTCTCCTCTTCCTTCTTTGCCTCCTCCAGCTTCCTTTGACGTGCAATACGGGCGTCCTGTTCAGCACGCTTTCTGTTCTCGTCGTCGTGCTTCAAGGCCCAAGCCATCTCTACCTTCTTCATATCCTTGCGGTAGATACTACGCTCTTTGGCCGTTTCGACAAGCTCTTTGTAGTTGAGGTTGTCGTATACGGAGTCAGTCTTGTTCTCATCGCGTACTTTGTGCGTACCGCCACGTCTGTGTGATGAGCCTTGGTGAGTTTCATACGGCTCTGCAGAGCCGTGGTACGGTCGCGGGTTACGCCTCTTGGCTTTGCCTTTTGGCATCGTGGTGGCGGTTGTGTAGTGTTCAGTGTAACGTTTGTAAATGGGTAAACGCTAGTATTCCAGAAAACGAGCATTGGTTACTAGAAGCGCAGTCAGTGTAAGATGAATTCGCAAGTGATGCTCGAGACATCGCTGCGAATACAACTTTAAGAGATCACGTGTATTGGCCACACAAGTGTCTTTAACGAGTCACGGGTCAAAGACATGCGAGAAGTCTGCTTTGTGAACATGAATTGGCTTTGTCTCTGTAAGCATCACCAAGCGTGGTGTCGAGTCGTTCAAAAAGTGTCACAATGCGCTGCACAGCTCGATTATACATTCGAAACAATTCATTCGTAGGGTCTAGGGTATCTCACTACGGTACGTTAACTTACATGCTTTCAAGTTGATGGGAAGATGCTTACAGTTCCGACTTCTCGCCATCCATCTTCCGCTTCTCTGCCTTGAAGTCGAAAAAGCCCTCTAGCTCCATCCACTCTGCAGTGAATGCCATGACCAGCTTCGTCCAGTCCTCGACTGTATCCATATCCAAGTGCTCTCCGTCGTCTTCAATCGTGTGCCATACATGCGGGAAGGGCGTAGGGATCATGTGCAGAATCTCGACGCCGCGGGCCATGAACGGAACGTGGTCGTCCTGTACGAAGCCGCCCATGAACTGATCATTTCCCTTGTTCGCGTCGGGCAGAAACGGACGTTCGTCGCGAGGCTTCTTGTTCTCGCGCTTTGCCATCTTCGACTCGTGATTTGGGGACGACTTCATTAAGCCTAGCTTGCGCAGGCGTGCCTCGGCAGTCGCCATGTGCTTGTATGCCCAATGTGTCGTCTTGAAGTATGAGGGGACCTTTGGACCCTTGGAGCCCAGAAGGTCAAGTAGCAGGAATAGGTCGATCGAATCGAGCGGTGTGCGGTATATCGACGATGCGACATGGAACGTCGACTCCCAGTCTTCAGCGAGAGCTCTATAGATGTGTCAGCACTTGATGTCGAAGGAGGAGAAAGGTTCATACCGCGCGCCATAGAGACTGTCGCTGTCGGTCCAGCTCTTGAACGCCTCCTCGCCGTCCAGCAACAGTATCTGCACACCCTTGTGCTCCACGTCAAAGTCGTCGGGGTCAGCCGCCGCCCATTTCTTGGTCAGCGCCGCATCGATGCTGCGCGCGATATGCAGGATCATGGCGCATGGGGCCGCACTGTCGGTCGCCCCAATGAAGCCAGTCGGCGTGTACTTGCTGTCGTAGTGGGCCACCAGAGCCAATCTCGAGACATCTCCCTCGGAGCTACCCGGCGGATCGCGTGTCGCAATGATGTTTACGAAAGGCACTTCCTTGCCCTTGCTCACCGGCGTCGTCGACGTCGAGTTGTGCATTTCCAGCCTCCATTCCGGTAATTGCGACTTGAAGAAGTCTAGGAAATGTTGGCGTACGGCGACATTGCCTTCCGTTCCAGACACTCTGGGGACCAAGATGGGCGCCAGCAAAGAGCCTTTCTTTATATCAAAGTCATCGTCCGGTCCCGGCAGGTGCTTGAGTGTGTGGTCGCTGAGGCCCTGGTAGGCGTATCCGAGGGACAAGAAGGAAACGAGCGACAGCAGCGCGAATGCGAACAACATGCTCGCGACTGGTCACATGAAGAACCTCGACAAAGTTAAAACACTGCACAAGATAGCTCACGACCGAGAAAGGAGCATGACGGCGCCGGTCGTTGAGTGGGCCGCTTGCAGCTGGTCGAGGGAACCGTGGCATCTCTCCGCACATGAGCTTGACCCGCTTCGGCTAGAGTTGCCGCGGCAAGCCGATCATCGCACGTGACACCGTGACATCTCAACAAGCACCATCGCAGCCCATCCACGCCCCTACACGTCCGTACGGCTTCATTGCTGAGTAAGCCTGCTGCTACGACCACCAGCGGCCAAACCTTGCCGTCGCGCAGTGACGGGATCCAGCGCGTCGAGGCCTGACAAACCCCACACACGTGTGCAATTTTCTTCACGGCCGTTGACTGCAGACAGTATGCAGCCACGGCTTTTCGCCTTTGCGGCCGCTTTTCGAAGCACAGCGCCCACATTTAGAGGCACACGACCAGTCCCTCAAGCTCGCCTCAATGGATACATCTGCCGGAGTTGCCAACGAAAATTTACCACGATACGCAGAGATCCCACGTTACCATTACAACGGGGAAAGAAGCCCAAGTCGGCATCCGAACCGGTCGGAAAAGAGAATGAGAAGAGTAGGTAACGACTTGAACGTAGTCGGACGACGAACCAGAAGCAACCATTGTTAACGAAGATGTCCAGTGTATGCGTCAAGACTACTGATCTACGATGCGGGCGACGCCCGAACGACATGGATATCCTTCTGGAAAGCAATGGCCTTGTTGCAATTCGGCACAACTCTCGTCTTCGGTGTGCCTCCGTTATGGAACAACGAGAATCAACCTGATGAGAGAGTACGGAAGATGCAGGCCATAACCGGTAAGTGGACTTTGTTAATACTTGGTGAACTGTCACGACCCGAACCTCTTCATCTACAACTATTCTTGCCAAATGCACCGAACCAATTCCCCTCTCGCGTCACTTCGATTCGCTCTGGATCTGATCTCATTATACGTGGGCATCTATCTTTTGCGCCCCTGATTTGCCAGACCCATTTTGCGCAGGTCCGAAACAGCACTCATCACGTGGTGGCGGCATCATGTCCCCTCACATACTCCCTCACCCACACCCCCTTCCCAACACCCCAACACCCAAAACCCACACCCCAATCTAACACCCCCCCAGTCGGCATCCTCGGCACCATCCCCACCCTAACCCTCGCCTACCTAACCGCCCCCTTCGTCCACCAAGTCTTCCTCCAAATCCCCACCACCGCCAACTACGCGCGCCGCTCCCGGCCCGAACTCCTCCGTTTCGCCAGGTCCCTCCGCCAAAACACCGCCGCCACTGCAAACACAAAGCTCGAATTCGTTACTTTGCGAATCTTCCCGTTCCGCAAACACACCACCGCTTTCCTGCACGAGCTCCGCGCTTTGCCGCCGAAAAAACTGCGTTTAGCAAACATCGAGTTACCGAAGAGCGAGGCGTGGGTTAAGAGACAGAGGGAAAAGGGAATCTTCAAGCGTGTGCTGGAAGTCATGAGTGAACCACGGTTCAAATTCTACGTTAAAGAAGGGCGGTTGTACACGATGAAGACGGGTGTACCGGGCGTGTGGGAAGAGGTGGCTATGAGAATCCAGGAGCAGACCGTTGAGGAAGCAGAGAGAGAGAGAATAGAGCGGGAGAATGGGAAGCGGGGTGTTGGGGCGAGGAAGGAGGTGCCGAAGAAACCGGTGGTTACGACTGTTGCGAGGCGTGGTGGGGGTCAGGCCAAGGTCGCGAGGCAAACTACGAGGAGGAGAGATTTCATGTCAGAGTGAATATTAACCTTGAGGCTTGCGATCCAATATGTCAAGATAGAACGATTTGCTAAGCGAAAGAGTATATACAAGTCGTCCGTTCCCGATAGCCCCTAACCCCAACTAGTTTACTCATTTCAACAGGTCTACCAAAGCATGAATTATGCCTGTTCGAGAACCTCTGGCTTCTCCTTCTCCATGCTACTCTTGTGGAAGTCGGCGACGCCGTCATCATGCACGAGGCCAGAGCGCGCGAGGAGGTCGGTAAGTCCGACTTCGCGGTGAACCTCGGCCCAGCGCTCTTTCTCGCGCTCTGCTGTGCCGGCGGAGCCGAAGAGTGTGTCCATTTCTTCCTGGGAGGGTCGTTAGCAAACAGCACGCGTGCAGATGGTCGGGTGAGAAAACCTACGAGAGAAACGCCCTTGGTCTCCGGAAAGAAGAAGAAGATAAACGCAGCGCCCATAGCGGTGAAGATGCCGAAGAAGATGTAGGTGCCATAACGAAGATGCGTAAGCATATCCGGGGTGACTTGACCAACGATGAAGTTGTTCATCCAGTTAGACGAAGCACCAAGTGCAATACCATACGGACGGTTAGACATGGGCCAGATCTCCGCGATGACAATCCAAGCACATGGACCCCATGAGTAGCCGAAGAAGATGACAAAGAGCCACACGAAGACACAGGCAGCCCAACCAGCACCCTGGTGGCTGGCCCAGCTGTCCTCGTAGCTGGCAGAGATGCCGGCGATGATGAAGTGGCAGGCTGCCATGCCGATGGCGCCGCTGACGAGTACGGGCTTACGACCCAGTTTGTCGACATACATGACCGCAGGGACTGTAGATTCGTTAGCGCGAGGACGTCAAGTGGTACTTTACGGTGAGAACTTACTTGTTGCGAGGAACATGACAATACCAACAACACCTGTGGCGAGGAGATTGATCGAGTTGCCTGATAGCCCAAGGTCTTGGAAGATGCTTGGAGCATAGTACAGAATGGCGTTGATACCCGTCTAAACGTCGGTTTACCAGTCAGTACATATTCTATATGTAGCTCGCACGTGGTCACTTACCCATTGTTGGAAGAACATGGTGAGCGTGGAGATCAGGACACGCTTGAACATGCCCCTGGTGGTGAAAAGACTGCCAATAGCGACGAATTGCAGCTTGAAGACCGACAGCGCGCTCATGTCCTGGAGATGGGGAAATCGCTCGGCCAGAGACTTCTTCTCGAAGAGACTTTGTGCGCGGATCTCGGCGTACTCAAGCTCGATGAGTTCGTGCTCCTGGGGCAGGCTACGAAGATTGGCGAGAACACGGCGCGCCTCTGCTTCACGGCCGTGGTGGACGAGCCAGCGGGGAGAGAAAGGCATGAAGATCATGCCAGCACCGAGAAGCACAGCGGGAGCCAGTTGCAGAGCGAGAGGGAGAAGCCAAGCAGCCTCCTTCTGTCCGTCTCTCCCGGTGCCACCGATGTAGTTGGTGCCGTAGTCGATCCAGAAACTGATCATGATACCCAGGGTAATGCTCAATTGTTGAAGACCCACAAGCGCACCTCGTACCTCGGGAGGTGCAATCTCGGCGTTGTACATGGGGACAATCATGGACAAGGCTCCGACACCCATACCCGTAACGAAACGGCCACCGAGAATAGCATTGTGGCCTTGACCGGCGGAAGCAGTGCATTGAACGACGACGCCGACCATGAAGACTGCAACGCTGACGAGAATGGCGTATTTACGGGAGAGGATCTCGGCGATGAATCCAGAGTACATTGTTCCGAACCAGGCACCGAGTTCGAGGATGGATACGAGCCAGCCCTGCTTGGAGGAGTTCCATTCGAGTGTTTCTTGATTCGCGATGTAGTCACCCATGTCTGAGCATATGTAAGTGACTTGCCTGCAGTTGTAGTGGCGAGACGTTACTTACGTTCCTTGAAGGAGGGCATGGTCAGAACACCAGAGAAGACACCCTGGTTGTAACCATACAACAGTCCTCCCAGGCAGGCAAAGCATGCGATACCAAACACTCTTGCGTTTTTGACCAGGGCCATGGGCCCCGATGCGCCTGCGAGCGCTTGACGGCGAGCCAGAGCGGCCACCTCAAAGTCGCCGGCACCACCACCGACTGGAGCCATGATGACGATTCGAGTGCGTTCGTGGGTGAAAGATCGAAGTAAAGATCGTCAAAGAATGGGACAAGGCACAAAAGTGCAGGGTTACTCAGTAAGCTCTTCGCGAAGCCCTTGACAGTTGAATCCCAAGATCAGGGAAGACATGGGGAATGCAGTCCTACATATGCATTTCCATTTCGCTCGGGCGGTCACCCAAGTCAGCATACCATTGTCTCGGGTAACGGGCCTACACGCTGAGTGGTTGATGCTGCGAAGCTTTCCCATGGCGGATAAAGAGACGGTTAAGCTCCATGGCACCAACGCTTATTTCGGGCTGCGGCAGCGATTCAAGCATTGGTGGCTGTCCTGGCATTGGCGCTTCATTGCTTGTAACGTCCCGCGAGGAAGCAGGCTAGAAGCCACTGACGGCTGGGCGCACTATTGACAAGAGACGCGGAGGGTGGAGGCGACGCGGGGAGAACGTGTTTGGGCGCACAGATGCTGAGCAATCACGGCTGAATCGACCGTTTTGTGAGATCGTTACGTGTTGGAGCTGGCACGAGACCGACCGCCTTTTCAACCTGATGCCTCTGTCTTGCGATGGCCTGCTCAAGATGAATGCCATCTAGATCCGTATTTCTGGTGGAGTAACAAGCTTCGTCGTCCAGCTTGCATACCCAGAGGCATACCCAGCAGCCACCGCGCGTCGTATAAATTAACAGCGCGTATCTGCCGGTCCGCGGACGCCCATGCCGCCAGCCCCCGCCTCTTCGAGTAGGCAGCGCCCATGAGTGTGGAGACTCCACAGCGGGATGTTAGCGCATCGTTTGCATTTTGCCTAAATGCTCTTCCCTCGGCGTTCACATGGTGCGAAGGATCACGGCGCTGCGGCGCTGCGGTAAGATCGGAGCTTTTGTCGCCAGGTCAGTCACGGGACGCGATCGAAAAGTCGGTTCCGACCTTTATTTCCGTGAGGATTGGATGAGCGAAATTTGGCCGTCAGGTAGAGCGGGCGTGTAAAGCTGACGACGCGGAGATGGCCACATAGATTGTGGGTTGAAGCGTTCGGGCCCACTGGCTGAGGATGCAGCCAATCACCATGAGGTCAGCAGAGACGTCATGCACTTGCCGACCTCCGATGCCATCGCCATCGTCCAGACTCGAGAGTACACAGCTTCCCGTTCACATGCTCCAACGCCACCTCGTCGCTAAATTACTTCCAAGAGTTCAAAGACATTTTTGAACTGAGACACGCAGCACCAAGGACAACAATGTCGTGCGATGCTGCAGATTGTGGCGGTACACTACCAAGGTAGCCCGAATGCACGTCTGTGGCTCAGCAGTCTGCCTTCCCGCGCCTTCCTGCTTTCTCATACTCATCATCCTTTCTATCGCACTGATTGGGGCTTTCTTGTACGTTCAAGGTCCTCCGCCCCACCATTCGGCGACTAAAGGCGAGGTTCTGTTGTGTGGTATATGTAGTCACGTGCCAGATGTCGACCTGCCCAGGTGATGTCGAAGAGTGACCCCGAGCCAGGAGGCTGGATGCTATGGCTCCGCTGCCTTTGTTGCACCGTTGGCATAGCCAGCCGATGAGCAGCTTCGAGGCTTCCAGGTTTGAAACAGTGCCCTCATCACCTGATATGCCGTAAAATACCCGAGGGGAACGCCAACAACGACCAACACTCACACCGAGCGACGCTGGTCCCAACGACTTCTTCAAGTACTTCGCGTTCCCCTTCAGCTTTGGCTAAATGATACTTCGGGTTCTACGTGTGCGATAACTTCACTTCGTATCTATTCCCAACCTTCAATTTACGTCTCCGTCCCGCATCTCCGTGCTGCGTTACGCTTCCTGCGTCCTGCGTCTCCAATCTCCACCTCCGGCCTGCGTCTACTTCGATAAAAGCGAACCATGAGCGTTGAGTCATGCACCAGCGCCAACATCCGCTCAAAACGAGATTTGAAACACCTTTGCGAAGTCGAAGACATTGAGACCGGCGCATCCATACGATGCACCTTCGCGTACATCGATGATCACGAGAGAGCATGGTTCGGTCAGACAACGGAGATGAGAAAATATGATCTGACTGTTGAGGATCTGAATCGACTCTTGCAACAAGTCCCCGACGAGAAGATATATCCGCTGAAGACTACCAGTCTGTCCATAGTACCAGAAGAAACCCGGAGCAAGTCCTACATCAAGCGACCCAAGATATTGTGTCTGGATAATGAAGCGCAGACAAAGCTTCTGCCCCAGCTGCTACTCGGAGAAGCAGAGGTGTTACATTTCCTCGAGGAGAATCCCCATCCGAACATTATCAGGTTCCATGGTTGCACTGTCAATCGCGGTCGTGTTACCGGTATTGCTCTGGATAAGTACAGTGTCATTTTGCAATACCGTCACGAGGATGTCCCCCAGCCTCTCGATGTAGAGGCTTGCATGTGCGGTATTCGTTCGGCTCTGAAACACCTTCATTGTCTTGGACTCGCGCATAACGATCTCAATCCCTCAAATATTGCTCTCGACACCAATGACAACCCAATTCTACTAGACTTTGGGTCTTGCAGAAGGTTCGGTCAAGTCCTTCTCACCGGAGGTACACCTGGCTGGATAGATGAGGATTATTCTACATCAGCTCAATGTCACGACGAGCTTGCTGTGGACAAGGTAGAGGCGTGGCTTCTGAGTAAGGCACAAGACCAACTGTAGACCTATGAGAATTGGGGTGTACATAAAATCCTCACCGCCTGCAGACTGCTTCAACAAGCACCTTGATTTGTGTAAGACGTAATGTTAACCTCGCCCCAGACACATATAGCAATGTGTAAGATTGCTCACTCATCCTTGGACCTTTACCGTCTCCATATCCTGCCTCCGAACGTTGTCGAAAATGCCTTCTGGGCAGCGTAAGGTTTGTTGATTCCTTCGGTTCGAGTTGTTGTCAGACGTTGGGTAACGTCTGATGATGCGATACTTCTCTCTTATAAGTGTCTCGTTGCGTATGGGTAAGACGGGCGAAAGCATAGTGGATTTAAGCAGGGAGGCTTTGCTGACTCTACAATACGTCACACTGCATATTGATCCCTGCCAACACGACCAATTGATTTGGGTGAAGCTGGGGGCGGCTGCAGCAATACGCAGGGTGCTTGTTGGTACAAAGCTCCTTCCACGAATCGCTGAACACACATCCCTACCCTTGGATTAGACGAAGTACATTGCCGCAGTTAGCGCGATCCGAAGACCCTCTGCGTCTCGAACATCGCTCCCTGTCGCGTCTCCCTCCTCTAGCACCGTCGAGCCCGATCGCTAGCCAAGTTCGCCTCGGCTTGCAGCGGGTAACCCTCACACTTCCACTCACATTCTGTTGTACTTGTAAGTGTTGTGATCTCTCCTGCGTCCTGTATGTCTTACGATCTTTGGCAGCGTCCACTCTCTTACGCTTCAAACTCTCTTGCGAGATGCTTGCAACAAAACACCCGCTCTATCTACATATCTGGCATACTAATCTTAGCTGATCTTGGGGCTTTAGCTTTGTTGTTAACCAGATCCGGGAGTTTAGTACAGTAATCGGAAGAGCAACCTTGTTGAAGGTCAGTTGGGCAGCTTTAATGAGCTTGAATAAGTGCCATTCCAAGCTCTTCTTACTCAATTTGTAAGGAGTTTGGACGTCTCTGTATCCAGTTGCATCGCCCTGAACGACGCCGCAGGTCTGAAGTCGCGCCACCTTGAAGTGTCACGACTAAGCTCTAGCCTGAGTCAGACAGCGCAACCTATCGGGACAGACAAGCCTACCGAAACAGCGCCGACGCAGAGTCTAAAGGCAACTTCTACCGCACAGGCCACTTCTCTGCAGTCGACTACAGACATGACCTCCACGACGCAGAGCGCGGGTTCTACTGTTACTTCGAACCAGAGATCGTCATCTAGTAGAGAGGCGCCGACATTCGCAGCTGATCTCAAACGAGAGTACATGATTGCAACCAAACATGGCACGCCTTGGACAAGTTTCAAACCCTTCATTGACACCCTTGACGGAGGTGAGGGATTCTTGGCCCGGTTCGACAGTATTGGCAGCTATATGTACGCCACCATGCTCAACAGTACGCAAGCAGCAGAAATAGCTGATACACATGACTGGATTGAATGGATCGGCCTCAACACGGGCGGAGTGCCGGAAGAAGAGCTAGAGAACTTCGCAGAGGAAAGACTAGATTCCAGTGTTGAACCTGTACAGTGGTACCATATCGCTAGCGAGCACGACACGCCTTGGGAGAAGTTTAAAGCCCTGATTGACACACTTGACGGGGTCGAAAACTCACTGGTTAGATGGGACTATATCGGAAGTTATATGTACGTTGCGAAAATGACAGCCTCGCAAGCAAAAGAAATTTCTGAATCCCATGACTTCATCAAGTGGATTGGTATCAACGATGGCGGAGTGCCGGAAGAAGAGTTAGAGGATTTTGCAGGGCAAAGACGAGCTGTCAGTGTAGCGCAGACTGGACAAAGGTCGCTATCAGATACGCCAAAGCCGCTCAGAATACCTGCATCGACGATCTTGCATCCCGAAACTGCATCTGGAGATGACCACCATATTCTGTCGAATGACATGAATCTGCTGAAAATGACTGAACATCGTGGGAGTCAACTACCAGAAAGTATCGAACTCAGCGAGAGCTCTTCTGCCACTTTGAATCGGACTTTGTCATCCAGTAGTGAGACGCCGATCGCGACTGCAACAACCAAGCAAGAGTATGCGATACACAGCAAGAATGATACCCCTCCCGATGTCTTCAAGAGTTTTATCGACGAGCTCGACGGAGGGAAAGGACACCTATATATCTGGGAGGCTCTTGGTGGGCAGCTGTACATAACTTTGCTCAACGCTACACAAGCAAAAGAGCTGCCCGAGAATCACGACTTCATCGAGTATGTCTTTCGCAACACGATTGCGGAGGCTTTCGAGGGCAACGAAGAATCTCAAGTGGCACAAGCTGTGCAAGCCGGAAATGAGGCTGACCCAGTAAGTGGTCCCACCAATGCTATCTCGTCTGCTCACATAGTCAGGATGAACGCGCTGTCGCTCGTAAAGTCGACACTGTCGCCACGCCGAACCTGCTGACATTGGGCGACTTCGAATTTGAGCGGCATAGAGACGAGAACTTCTGGATCGGCGAGCATGGCACGATGTGAAATGGCCATGTGTTGTTCATTGTCACTCTAGCTTCACTTTGATGGTTGCTTACCCACGGAATCGTTGGTCATACACTGTGTTCATAGCAGGCACTCTTTCAATTCCATCCTACAATACCCTCTGCTAAAGTCAAAGGTTTCTGTGTCGACCCAGTCATGACCGAAATCCTTCTTCCGATAATCCCATTATCACCAACGCCCAGGTGCAGTTTCTCTGGTAGTTGCATGAAGCCTCTTTGTGGCGACTCTATTTCAAAAGAGTACAAAGCATCCAACACACCTTGTTGCTTTGACGAGCAGAGATCGCCATCACAACTAATAGCATCGTCAGCATTGCGCTAGCCCTTTGGAAGGACGCAACCGTGACGGACTGAACTCACTGTATGACCAGCCGGTGGCTATCCTGTTGCAAAACGTCGTCCAGCCCTTGGCATTCAACGTTGGTCCCGCATTTTGAGAGTGGGTTGGTGAAGAACAGAACCATCTCTTGTTCTTGATGTGTGTGCGCTAGGTGGGATGTTGGTCGCAGTACTGCTATCGAGCCTCCTTGGCTGACGCGCGTTGAGCTGCCGTTGCACATTGCTGGACTCTGGTGAAGGAGACCCGACGGATACAGGGATATAAACTCGGCCTTTCAACAGTGGAAGAATGACGACGGAAGAGCGTGGTTGAGTGAATGGACAGTGTGTAAGTATACGAGTGTAGGAAGTCAAGTCTGAGATCGATCGGCGCCGAGGGGTAGGGAATTGCGAGCGAATGATTATCGATGGTAGCAGAGATGCAAAGTCTTTGTAGTCTACGCACTGTTTCAGCGGCATGTGTTGCAATGTTTGAGATTTGAGAGTGAATGCGTGTCTTTGAGCAAGTTTCGGAAGAGTACCCGATTGGTCAAGCTCGGGCGCTAAGATCCACCATGGTGCTCTTCAGTGAAGTTATGTATGTATGTGAATGCGATCGCAAAACCGTCATATCATTCACATCGTTTCGTGCTGTCCCTATATGAGGTCTCCGCCCGTTTACATAGAAGCCTTGAGCACGCTGAAAGCATCGGCGCGCGATCCTCGGTAACGCTCTTCCGCCGTCTTCCAATTGATAACATTCCAGATGTTTTTGACATATGCAGCTTTGCCGTTCTGGTACTGGAGGTAGTATGCGTGCTCCCACTGCATGTCAGATTAGTCACCTGTGGCCTCAAGGGTCGAAGAGCCAGCAACTCACCATATCAACACCGAAGATCGGAACTTCGCCCTTGCCAACGACAGGGTCTTGATCCTTGGTCGTCACAATAGACAGCCGCTGCTCTTTGCCCATATCAGTCTTGACCAGCCAGCCCCAACCACTTCCCTGAATGCCGAGCAGAGCGGCGTTGAAGGCTTCCTTGAACTTGTCCTCGTCACCCCAGGTCGCCTTGATCTGCTTGAGCAGCTCAGGAGCAGCGGAGCTCTTGGCCTCATCCGAGCTTGCAGGTGCGAGGTTCTGCCAGAAGAGGGAGTGGTTGATGTGTCCGCCTGCGTTGAACTTGATTCCCTGTTGTATGGAGACCTGCGAGGTGATGTCCGAGGTAGAGACAGCTTCGGCCTGGGTCTTGAGAAGACCGTTCAAGTTCGTAATGTAGGTTTGATGGTGCTTGCTGTGATGCAGCTCCATGATCTGCGCGGAGATGTGCGGTTCCAATGCCTATGAACTATGAGCATACTGTGCGTGGGGTAATAAAGTCATCTCAGGCTATACTAACATCGTAGGCATATGGTAGCGGAGGAAGCGTGTATTGGGGTGCAGACATAGCGCCAAATTCGAAGGGCTGTTGTTCTGAAGCAAAGACTGTGGATGGAGAGAGAAGAGGAAAGAGAATGGTTGAGAACGTCGATATGCCCCGCATCGTGCCTGCCCCTCACGCAATCGATACGTGTAGAAGCCGGGTACGTTCGTCAGACTGCCAGGTCGTCACCAACAGGGTGCTCTGGATGTATGCTGCCCAATTGGGTCTAGTGCACTAGAAACTGCCTCAATTGAGCGCGATGCCACTCAAATGCTCCACTATGTCTGTACTGGAATCGAAACACAGGTAGACGATGTATAGACAGACGTTGTATTTATTTCTGAAGCAATACCTGCTGATCTGACAAAGAGAACAACGTGCGATGGCCAGCTACAGGTAGCTGCTCACGTGTGAGTAGCTTCAATGGCGAGGCAGCAAACAGGAGGCGATGCCAATGCTCGCATGAATGACGGACTAAAGGTAGCACAGCTCTTGTTGCGCAACTTGACGGGGATACGATGTGACGAAGGCGCGGTGTTGAGTGGGAGATGAGGTGAGGGAACGGCAGTACGTGTTGTTCCGGTCGGACCTCGGGGATTCCGAAGTTAACGCCGTTATGAAACAAGATCTAAGCTCGGTTGAGCTTAGTTTGATGTCGTAATCGTCACAAATCGATTGCTACCGCGGACGAAGAACGCAACTCTAGTGCGATGGTTGTACCAACGAGGCTACACATGCCTCTCGTTGGCGAGCGATATCGCTACAGCGGCAGATGCCTCAACACATGCCTTTGTAGTCCCTCCTTCTCAGCTTCAACTGCGCATTCGCTCGCAGTCCATTCCTCCTGTCTCCTCTTTCAGCGTCGACATCCCTGTCCTCAGCCAACAGCATCTGCCTCTTTATAGCTGCTTCACTTTCCGTCGTGAGAGTACCACACCTGCACCCATACCTCATGCGCGACATTCTCGCTCTCTTTCTCTTCTTCCACATTTTCCTGCCTTTTTCCCAGTCAAACTCGAAGCTTTTCGCCTCCATATCCTCTGCGACTAACTCTATTACTTCGTGCGGGTCGGTAGGGGCATGCATGAGGGTGAAGCGCATGTGCCTGGTCTCGATCGTGCTACAACCCAGTGCCCTCATTTGGTCGACGAAACGAGGAGGCGGTGATTGAGCACGATCACACCGATCACGGGCCGGCGCCCTGTGCTTTCTGGGTTTACCGATGCCTTTCACTTCTTCTTCACGGGCAGGACTCTCCCAACGGTCGAGTATGACATATGTGTCCTGTCCCAGCGTAACAAGTTCGCCGTGACTATCACTCTCGAGGAGCACAAAGCCGCCAAGTTTCCGTTGATCAATAAACGGGTTGTGTCTCTCAGTGCACATCGCCATGCTCGGACTGGACTCGATCTGATCGCGTTGCTTCTCAGTGAGCTTGCCCGGAAACTGCATCAAAGTGACACTCGGCCAGGATCGAGCTAACCGGGCGCCTCCAGAGTAGCAACCGGGCATGTCATACTGTATGATCTTTGTTTTTACTACTGAGGATGACAGCAACTCCAGCTTTTGATGGAAATGGCGATGTCTGTCCATGTCGACATGCGCATCGTACGCAGATTTGTGGGTCCAGGATATCCATAGGTATAGTTCAGACGGCTGCTCTAGGACGCGACTCCAGTCACACTCTTGTACCCCGTCACACCTCTTCAGATCAATGAGAGCCCGAAGCACGGTACGCCATAGTTGATTGGACTGTGAGCTTGCGTAATGTATGCTTTCTGGCGCGGTGATTGTGATCCATTCGCATACATTATTGGTGATGTTGAGATCGCGTGTGTCGGACATTGTTGAACGTTGGCAATTAGGCTGGTGTCTGAGAAAGCTGTTGCAATGGAAAATGTTGTCAGCTGCATGGATACTTATGCGTGCGCGAAATGTTTTCGCAACCGGTGGTACCAAGGTACACGCGTACATTGGTACCCACGATCATGAGCAGTTTGTGCGCTACCGGACTCGTCAGCCAATCAGGTGGTAGCTATATTTGACTCGCATCTGTACCTAGGTAGTTCGCACATTTGGACCTCATCATTGGATGGAAGCCGGCCTAGGTCTTCAGCTCGAAAATCGTCACCTATGTCACCTCTTATTTCGAAATAAGAGTCCTGGGGTCATCTCATCGAGCGTTTGAGCGTTAGTCAGACTTTTTGTGAAACATTGACAACTGTAATACCAGGACTTCCATGAAAGTACGTTCTACCCATGCCTTTTATCCAACTAAACGGATTGCCATTGATGATGTTTCGCCTGTTGCCGCGAACCACTTGAATTGTTCATTTCCAATCTGACGCACACATGCTGGAAAAGAGCTGAAGTGATGGTTTAGAACGACTTATTGTATTCATATAAAGCTATCCTTATGCCTCGCGGCTGCATCAGGATGAAGATATGGAGGTGCCTGAATAGGTCAAGGACTTGAAAAGACGCATCGACGTGTGGTTGCATCGCGAGAAGTAAACGAATTGTTCAAGAGAATCAATACGGCAGATGCATCGCTTCCAATGCTAAAATAGTCCCACCTTATCACGATGTGTTGCTCCGGTGATGAGCTGATCCGGCGGTCCAGTCCCAGTAGTCACCCTCCTTGAAAGGGTTAACGCTGAGCCAATAAGCGAATGCAGCAAATGCATAGGGCTCTGGTGCAGTTGTCATATCTTCAGCAGGCTTCATCTGCGAATTAGGCGGCGGGTTAGCGTATTTAAGCACATTGAGCACTCCGTCTGGCAAGATAGTTGGTAAATTTCATCAACGCTGGGATATTGCATGATACATACACGCCATCTTCCATGCGCCTCCCACTTCAACTTCATCCGGTGTATTGTCGGAGCCTATGACAGCATGCACTGCCTCATGGAGAAATGTCAAGACTGTAGGCTGCCGATCTTGAACCTTGGCCAATGGCGTCACAGGCCCATTTGTCTGGTGGATCGAATGACAGGAGAATGCTTTAGTCGTTTGACAGGCGGAAGGACAGAATGTGACCGTCAGTCTCTTTTTGTTCGACTGTGGAAAGCGTGTTTCGGGACCTTCGGGCGCGTAATCGTACGTGAGACCCAGAATTCTGCCTGAATTACACAGATGTCGATCTCGATTTGAGTAGATGCCATTACTGTTCGGGTTCGGAAGAAGGCAAGGAATGCGTTATCGACGTCGTAGCGTGAGGGTAGTTTCTCGGAAAACGCTGTCCTTTCTTCAACGTCGTCGGTGGTCAGGTTAGTCAACATGTAATTAGAACATTCGACTCGCACGTTGTTCCCGAGATGTGCTTGCACATTCTGAACGCTCGTATGTAATCTAACAATACAATACAGAGTCTCTAACTCCTGCAAAGCAGCCCTGTAAGGCTTATAACTTTTGCAAGTAATAGCCTGTACCTTAAATTCTGCCTTATAGCCCTCTTATACTCTATTATAGCCTATTACTGCTGTAGGCAGCGTTGTAATATACCTCTTTTTAGCTGTGCACGTAGGAATCTAGCCTTAGTAGATAGAGCGGGTATACATACTTCTGTAGCTAGCCTATTTACTCTAGCTGGCTATTTACCTGCGTGGCTTGGCTAATCACCTAGCATATGTATGAATAGAAATAATTGCCTTTAGAAAGCTTCCGTTTGACGTGCTGCTAATAGCCTTTAGAGACAAGACCTATCAGGCTGGGAAAGACTTTAAAAGACCACCGCTTCCAACTTTTCCAATCCCCCCAATGTACACGCCCAAAGCGACTCGCGAGAACGCCATGAGTCCTCGCGTGAAGCCCAGAAGCGATAGTAAAAAGCTATGCGCCTAGCTTCCATACGGGCGTGATGTAGTAGTCTATCAAGTGCACCAGTACTTCAGTTCCAACATCCACTCAAGCCAGCTCGAGCTCAATCAGCGAATCCAGACTATGCGGATGCCGCCAAACCCCCATCACCTTCAACCCCGCACCTTCATATATCTTGCGATGCTCCTCTTCCGTCCGGTGTCTGGCCCCCAGACTAGCCATAAGCTCCCAGTCCAGACACGCTACCACGTATTAGCAACCTCCACATTATCTAGGTAGAGAAGACGAAGAACTTACTCTGCACCCAATGCGCACCCTGATCCGGCACGACGAAGTCGTTAACGAGGACCTTGGAATACCCCTTCGTCATCGCCGGCACAATCGCTTTCAGAATCTGGGAGTTGACGTCGTCGTTCCAGTCCTGGATGATGGAATGCAGATAATACGCCCTTGCACCCTTGACAGGCTGCTCCGTCATAAAGTCATGCGACATCGCTTCGGCACCAGGCCCCAATTTCGCCAATTCCACAATCTCAGGTCTATCCTGCAACACCAACCCCCCCGGTAACCGTCCCTCGAACGCCTCCCTCAGCCCCTCAACATCATGCCCAGACCCACCCCCAACATCAACAAGAAAAGGCTTCCCCTCCTCCGCCCCCTCAACCAACCTCTCCTTTACCGGATAATACCCCCCCTCAAACCACCTCGGCCTCCCTTTACTCCAACTCTCCATCATACTCGCAAACCTCCTCCCCATTTCAGGATTCCGTTGCTGCATGTACTCAAAGTAATGACTCCCCTTACAACCATACGTATGCTGGAACGGCGCATCAAGCCCGCTATCAGGACACTTCCAGTCTCTGGCTTCGAAATAAGATTTCATGGAGTGGTGCACAGGCTGGAAATCTTCTGCAATGAACAGGATAGAGTCTTGGTATGCTTCCTCGGCGAAAGCACGGGAGGTGGGTGTATTAGCGAAAGTATCAGGGCCGGTCTCGCGGACTGTGCCCATGGCGGCGAGGTGGCGGAGCATGCGTGCGACGATGATGGGGTCGACGTTTTTGTCGCATCTCCTTGCGATTTCTGTGCTGCTGGCTCCGGTTTCTGGGATGGAGTGCATGGCTTGGAAGAGCTGTATCTCGACGGCAAGCCAGAGCGTGGTTAGGTGGGTGGGTTGTGCCCAGAGTATGTCTAGCATGTTTTCGGATGGGTGGCTGACTTCTGCGATGAGGCTACGGCACGCGTCTAGTAATCCTTCTCTTGCGCCGCTTTCGCCATTTTTGAAGCCGGTGCTGAGGGAAGCGATGTTGTCGAGCAGGGAGAGAGCAGCTTTGCTCGGTGTCGGATCAGCGGCCATGATTAGGTTTGGGGAAAGACGGATCGCGGTGATTAGGAGGAAAGGAGCACCAGCCTTGCGTTCTTATTGTCGCGACAAGTTGTCGGGATGCTGATCCAGTCGCACCACACGTGTGCCCCTCATTCTTCGGACGAACCTGTACCGAACTGTTGTCAGCACAGCACCAGGGCACGGCAGGTGGCACCCGCGAAGCGTGGTGGCGAGGCGGGCTGCATGATGGCCCATGTCAAGAACCCCAAATCCTGGACGTTATCAACGTTGTACCCACGTTTGTGATCCTTCCATCCTTGCGTCAGCCACTCCACCTGCCAACCTATCCGGACCACTGTGTGGCAAAGGGATTGCCTGTTTTGCGATAGAATCGTTTGTAATCATGTCGCACCACCAAGACGTCGAGGGACTGTTCAATGATTGAGACATCGTAATATCGGGGTATCATTTGAATCATAAACTAACTATCTTTTTGACCTTACGTGGTCTTTTGCCGCTTCTTCGCTTTGGAAAGCGCCGATGTTATGGCGGCGAGCTCTTTCTCCACCACCTCATCGTCCTCGCTTTCCGCATCGACGTCGGCGGTTTCATCATCGTCGGCTGCTCCATCAACGTCGGCGGCTTCTAGTGTTGTGCCACCTTCTTCGTCGTCGTCCGATACCTCTTCCTCATCATCATCCTCGCCATCCAGTTCTAGGCCGTCTTCGTCACTGAAACCACTAAAGTCGCTATCGTAGTCGGACTCGTCTTGTTTCGCACCAGCCTTCTCACCGGCCTCGCTCTCACCACCTCGCTTCCGCTTCTTGCTCATCTCACCGAGCTTGCCTTCGCGCTTCGCGTTGATGGGTCCGCTGGTTGATTCCTCGCCCTCCTTGTAGGGTGGTGGGGTGAACCAAGGAAGCTTTCCTCTTATCCAGTCGTTCAGGACCATCTTTGCAGCGCCATCGATGTCGGCTTCACCGCCCTTCAGCAGACGACCGCTCTTGCGGCACAGGTTTTCTAGAAAAGCGACAGCATCGCCCTTGTAGTCTGAGTCTTTGATATCATAAGTTCGCTGGAGATGTCGCGGTTGCACCCGCTTCAGAACCTCTTCGATGTATTGTGCTGGGTACTCGACGTTCTCGACACGTACACTACCGCGGAGCAGCAGATCCGTATCGGTGTCGTTTTGGTTTGGTGGTACAATACCAGGACAGTCGATCATGTAGATGCGCTTCATCAAAGTAATGTACTGCCAGACCTTGGTTTCACCGGCGATGGGCGCGACGACGCACACCTTCTTCTTCCGCAGAGTGTTGATGATGGACGATTTACCGGTGTTTGGGTAGCCAACCATACCCACGGAGACCTGTTTACGGTCGCTGTGGAGAGAGCTGAACTGGCGGAGAAGGGCGATCAAAGAACCCTTACCGAAACTGTTGTTGATGGAGGCGTGGAAAGCAAGAGTCGGGAACTCTTTGCTGAGATGACGAACCCATGCAGCCTGTCAAGTGTCAGTGCGTGGTCATCAACCTGACATGATAATGTGCGTCGATGACGGAATGTGCGAAATATTACTAAGAGTACCGCCATGAAGCTGCTAGTGCAGAGACGGTCCTCAACTCAAACAAATCACGCGTGACTCTATTGATCGGCAACCAAGACGGTTACCAATCGACCCGCGATCAAGACGATCTTAGGCCAGCGAGCCACTTTTGCTCTTCCCAACTTGTAACAGAACCGTATTCATGGAATAGGAAAAGGTCCTTGACTTAAGGAGGGTGCGTGTGGTGTAGGGGGTAGAGAGGGGGCGTGAACTTACAGCAACCTTGGAGGGGACGAGATCGACCTTGTTGAGCACGAAGACTAGATGCTTGTGGGGTGCCTCGGTGCGGATGTATTTCTCGACGGAGCGGCAACGGGTGCCATCAGGATCGCGGGCGTCTAGAACGTGGAGGATAACATCGGAGGAATCAATGACCTGGGGTATGTGAGACATGGATTGTGAGAGGTGATGGTTGTAAGCTTACCTTGTACAGCTCGTTCCAGATACGCTTCGACGTGCCTTTCATGAAGATGAACTCGCGCGCAGACGTAAGTTCGCCGTTGGGGTTGTCGGCGAAAGACTCGTTCTGCTCTGCCTCGCCAGACGTGCCCGAGAGCAGCTTGGCGTTCTCGAGGCGCTCCACGTAGGTCTCATGCATGCTTCCTGTGCGACCGGCCAGATCCTCAATGGAGCTGAAGTCGAGCTTCGGGCGCTTCCGTTGGGCCTTGGGGCCGAAGGTCTCTGAGAAAGGCTGGCTGCCAACGGCGATCTTGGCCGCGTGCTGCTTGAGGCCTGGGATCTGTCCTGGTGTCTCGATCAAGCTCATGGGGAGCTTGTTGCGCTTCATCAGGAACGTGGTCGGGTCCGAGGACTGCGCCTCCACAGCCGAGCGGAAGCTGTCGAGAGCATCCTGCGATATCACTCGCGTATTGTTGAACCATTTCCTGTTGGGCTCTACACGGGCGACAGGCGCTGCGCGGTTCTGGTAGACGGCGGCCTTGGTAATGTCTCCCTTGGCATTGCGCTCCGCTGTGCCACCTGTGAGGCGCTTGAGGAGCTTGACCTTCTTCGCATCACTGCCAAACTGTCAGTATACCTGTACATAAAGACCCTGGCGCAAAAAGACAGCGCGACATACCGGTAGAAGTTGGCGCCCTTGGTCTTGACATTTCCCATGCCATCGCCCGTCTTGCCCTCGCGCTCCTTGCGGTTGTACTCTTTCTTCTGGACACCCATGGCGACTGCTTCCGGTGGTGTTGGCGGGTTGGGAAGAGTGAAGAGGAAGTTCGCGAGGCATGGGCAACTTTTTTTGAGAGGCGGGAGCTAGCCAGAGTGGGGCCAAGGGGCTTGGCGCCGACAATTTCGAAGCAGGCGCGACGACACCAGCGCCGCACCTCCGCATCGCCGCATTCGAGTGCACGAGGCAGGAACACCGCCATGCCGCCCAGGATACCCGTCCGATCCTCTGCAGCTGCCAATGGCTGGAGCAGCAGTCTGTATGTGCGTGCCTTCTCCTCCACACCTTCCGCTCTTGCCCTCGGTCCGCAGTCGCCAAACTACATCGACGTGCCGAAGCCGCTGCAGCCCACGTACCCAGCCAAGCCCGCAGTAAAGGGCCACCTCCCCATCCCAAGAGACGTCTTTAAGACGAGGAATAAGCACCCGAAGGAGTCGGACATCTTCCTCGACCGGAGTACGAAGGAGCCCAAAGACGTCAAGGCCCCCGGACCATACAGCCGGGATGTCGACTACCGGTTATACAAGCAAAGGCTGGCGGAGAAGCGGAGAGAGAACCTGAAAGAGGGTGTCAAGGCGCTGCATGAGCGGAAGGTCACATCAGAGGCCGAGTACATGGCCAAGATTCAGGCCATTGGCGCGAAAAGGCGGGAACTGGCCACGGCACCACGTCGCGAAGTCGACATCTTAACTGAGACATCTGTCGCCAAGGGCATCCGTGACTTCCTCACCGACAGCCTGCCTCCGCGGCCCGACATCACAAAGGCCCGGAGCCGAGCATACCAGCGTCGAGTAGCCCGGATACAAGAAATTCGCGCCTCCCGCCTACACGATCTATACACCAATGCGCGAAAGTTCATTGTGGACGAACAACAATTAGACGAGGCGATAGAGAAGGTCTTCGGATCTGACGAGCAGCCTGTTGCTTGGGACGCCAGGGGCGTCATGGGCCCACGAGAAGACGGCAGGAACGGTCTCAGCCCATGGGACGGACCTCTGCCCGAAGGTGTCGGTGACATGCTCAACAAGCTCAAGGGTGGCGAGGGTGTCGGTCTTGCCAAAGAGCGCGTCAAGAAGGTGGCCGAGGAGCTTACTGGTGGTAAGATGTAGGCTCAGTACTGAGCTATGTATCATATACTTCATGTGTATACCAATATTTTGGACGTCTCGATGATTTTTGGCACGCCTTCTCACTTTGATCAATCACCGTGGTTCACCTTTCACTCCGGACCTGGGCATGCGCCGCCAATAGCGGACAGCGAGCTAGACCGCTGAAGCGCTAGTGAGGTGAAGGAGAGAAAGCGGTCCGTCATCTTCCACTCAACATTGTCATTTCGCGACTTCCAGCAAACGAACGAAATACATTCTAACCCACATGTCTTGGCCTCATCACCGCGAATGATCGCATTGGTAGTCTTCTGACTGCATCCACCGCTCTCGCACCGTCGGTCAGTCACGCCTGCCTTCTCTAGGTCAATCATTTCGAGTACCCACCCGGGTCGTGACCAAGCTCTACTTGAAGCGTTTGTCAAGGTCCCGACTTTACCTCTGCGAAGGCGTTATCAGCGCTAGGACAGCGAGCGTGATCCAAGGACCTATAATCTGCTCATACACTCATATATCTACTTCTCCACATTCTCTCACAGAACCCCTTCACAAGATCCACTCACTTACTACCTGGGCGTCAATTTCACACCACTATTCAAGACCATCGATTGCCCCAAGCTCACCACTCTCTCTCTCCACGCAGTCTCTACCCCAATCTCCCCGCCCATCATGAAACTCCTCGCCCTAATCCTCGTCTTCCTGCTTTCCGTCCTCACCACCGCGACCCCCTTCGCCCTCCCCTTCCCCGACGACACCCCCGCCTCCACCCAAGGCAGCAAGCCCAAACACGATCCCCTCACCCAAACCCCCGCCCACGAACGCCGCGGCGTAGCCTACAACGACGTCGCCTACAACAAGCTCTTCCAAGGCGATGGAACACACGTGACCTGGCGCTTCAACTGGGACTCCTCGTCTGCGCTCTCACCTGCCTGGTTCCGCTTCATCCCCATGCTGCATTCACTGCGCGACGATCATACAGGAAGGTGGAAAGACAATGCGGAGGCGATGGCGAGGAAGAATTTTGAGGATCATGGGTTCGCGACGTGGTTGATGGGGTTTAATGAGCCGGATAACTGTCTGTAAGTACAGTCTTTGCTTCTGGTGAGAATAGGTGTGGTTATTCGGGGTCGTGCTGATTATAGTAAAAGTCCTGACGCAGGCGGTTCTTGCATCGACGTCCCCACCGCCGTTGCCGGTTGGAAGAAACACATGGAACCGCTGTCCAACTTCAACAGCGCCATGTATCTCGGTTCACCGGCTGTCACTAATGCCGCAGCCTCCGACACCACGGGTCTGGGCTGGCTGGCCAAGTTCATGGAAGCGTGCGACGGATGTACTATTGACTTTATCAACATCCACTGGTACGTCCCTGTTCTCCTTCAAACTTCTCCCTCCAGCTCACGCGCGGCCCCACTAACCTCAAACCCCACAGGTACAACTCCATCCCCAACTCCCCTCAAAACTTCAAAGACCACATCGCCAACGCGCGCAAAGTCGCCAAGGGCCTCCCCATCTGGGTCACCGAGTTCCGCGCCGAAGGTACCGACGACGAGATCAGGAACTTCCTCGACGACGTCATGCCTTGGATGGATAACTCACAGGATATCCACCGTTATGCGTATTTCATGGCGAGACCGGGTAAGGGTATGTTGGTTAACGATGCGGGTGATGGGTTGAGTGATATTGGAAAGGAGTTTGCGTTTTTTCATAAGCATGAGAGTGAGAAGGATGGGAAGGGGAAGAGTTATGGGGAGGGGTGGGATGGGGGGAGGTGGTGGGAGGAGGATAAGTGAGTTTGCACGTGAGTATTCCTCCTGGGACCCCGGGTGTAATGGAGATAGAGTTGTGATCTAGACCAAGAGTCTGGAAGGCGTGGGATGGGAGGGTCATATCTCATTCAACATTTCTCTTACCATCTCACTCATATTATATATCTAACAACACGTATCTATCCTCCACTCCCCGGACTTCAAGGCTGTCCAATTGCCTTGACGTGATGCCGATAGCTTGCGCGTAGCTTCCAATCGGGCGCCTCTCGGATTGCTGAGAGACCCGGGAATAACCTAGTCTTCGCAGCGCCCTGACTTCATCTCCTACTCGGTCTAGGTCGTGTTAACAGCAGACCTTACAATTTCCGACGTCCTCGTTAGTACGAGAGGGCGCAACGAGGTCTCTGGTTACCGACCCCGCTCTTGGCAAACGTGGGGCCTTGCTCAGCCCCCAACACAGCCTAGCTTCGCCCATCTCTCGACGATAACGCAGGAACGATAACAACTCCATGACTACTCGCAGCACAAGCTTCACACCTTCCTCATATATACATGGCCAAGAAAGTAGCATGCACGATGTCGTGATGCTACATGAGAAGACACGGCTCACCATCGGCGTTATGTCAGATCAAAATGCCCGCGGATGTAAGCGGAGGAGTTGGGCGACGGCAAGAGTGGGACGGGTGAAAGTATAAAGGTACAAGTAGTACAAGGTGTACAGCATCGAGTCTTTTGTTTGTTGACAGTCAATCATTATGCGACTCTGTGACTTTGTAATTGCTGCTTCTTTAAGCGTGGTAGGCAACGCCGCACCCACAGCTTCCCAACCACGTCAAGCAACAACCGCTAGCGAACGACTCGGTCTAACATGGCTGGGCGGTAACAGCAGCCTCCCCAAAGTCCTGTACGTGCAACGCAAGATCTCAACATCCATATTCCCATCTAAACCGCCCACAGCGTCCTCTTCACCGGCGGCACCATAGCCGGCGGCTCCATCTACGGCGCACTCGACGACACGCAATACGGGCAGCTCAGCCAAACCGGCGAAGACATCATAGCACGCAACCCGTACCTGCTCAACAACACGCAACTCGCCGTGTCCAACTGGACCACCGAAGACGATGGCTCCACGGGCACAAACGACGCTCTAGTCATGAACATGACGCGCTTCGCACACGACGCGCTCTGTTCACCCGACAGCGACATCGTAGGCGCAGTATACACGCACGGCACGAATTCGCTCGAAGAAACAGCATTCCTCATGGACTCACTGATCAACTGCGGAAAACCCATCGTCGGGACAGGCAGTATGCGGCCCTTCACCCACCTCTCCTGGGACGGAGAAGCGAATTTCTTCGACGCAGTCATGCTAGCTGCGAGTCCCGAGTCGCGGAATAGAGGACTCATGGTAGCTTTCAACGCACGTATCATACCTGGGTATTGGGTCACGAAATTGCATTCGACTAATCCGGATGCTTTTGGTCCTACGTCTGGTGGTGATTTGGGCATCTTCATTAACAGTTTGCCGGTTTTCTTCAATACGCCGAGTCAGCCGCTGTGGAAGTACTATTTCGATGTTGGGACTGTGAGTGCGTATCCGACGTATCCGACGTTGCCGAAGGTGGATATACTGTACGCGGCCCGCGAGTTTGATGGAAAGTTGGTACTGGATGCGCACGCCAACGGCGCGGATGGTGTTGTTATTGCCGGGACTGGAAATGGCGGTGTGCCGAATGGCGGAGACGAGATTGCCGAAGCGATGGAGAAGGGGCTTCAAGTCGTTGTTGGGACCCGCAGTCCGCATGGGCCGTCGAGTCCAGCGCGGATACCTTCGTTTGCAAAGTCGGGATTTGTGCATCCTATTCAAGCGAGGATTATGCTGCAACTGGCGATTGCGAGTGGGATGAATATGAATCAGACGATTGATGTGTTTGAAGGGGGGTTCAGGAAAGCCATTGGACAGCCTTGGAGCCCGGGGAGTTGAGGATAGAGATGTGGAGAGTCAGAAACAGTGGTCTTTCAGCGTCACTCGCAGCCTAGCAGACCCGTATCCAGAGGCCATCGACAGCACGTCAGACGGACGCTTTCTGATGGCAGTTATATATGTTCACACATGTAGTTTGGATTCGTTGATTGAGCTTGAGCTGGCATGAGTGCTATGCCCATGGCTGTCTCAAGGCAACGATCTGGAATCACGTGGACGTGTGATCGCGCCACAATCTTACCCCGCACAACGAGAAAGTACCCAGACCCTTGAATCCTTTTACACAACATTCCACATTAAGGCCCTTTTTTGTTAACGACCTGCCGTCAGAAAATGACCAAGCAATTATGCGAGATTTGCTCGCAACTCGAAATGAATCCGTCTTATCTTGAGAAACAGATCCTTGGTACTTTTGATGAGCTGCTTGTTAGATCGATTAGCCTTGGGCCCGGGTGCGGCGGTTGCGGTGGCTGCAAATTCTTCTGTAACGCATTGCAAAACTCGAATCGCTGGCGTAAGCGAGTGTCCGAATTATCAGACCGTATTATCGTCTTTCACTGCAGGCATTTGTACGCGAATGCTCCACTTGGACCTATTGAGCGTATATACGATGGCGACCTACGCTTCGATGTATGTGTCGAAAAAGGAAAACTAGGTGCGTTGTCGGATGTCAATTAAACGCGATTACGGTATTAATGCAGCATCGTCCAGGCGGCCTTGTCTTTCGCAAGCGACCACTGCCTCATCCAGATCCACGTGATAGCAGTTGCTTAGAAATAGTTGCTAAATGGATACGTCAGTGCAAGACGCATGCTCAGTGCTCTCTACCAGCGCCGGTCGCACTGCCAAAACGAATCATCGAGATACCTGCTGATCCTTCCGCGTCACCTAGACTACGAGCGACCTTCGGTGAAACAGGCCAATACGTGATATTATCCCACTGTTGGGGTAGTAAGGGAATCAGCAGACTCACCAAAGACTCGCTTGTCCAGTTTCAGGAAGCAATGAAACTTGAGCTGCTTCCCAGAAGCTTCAAAGACGCGATTGATATCACTCGGCGGCTAGGCTTTCGCTACCTTTGGATCGATGCGCTCTGTATCATCCAAGACAGTGCTGAAGACTGGGCAGAAGAAGCTGTAAATATGGCGGCGTACTATGGATTGTCGACACTCATGATCGCTGCATGTTCTGCTGAGGATAGTAGTAAAGGAATCTTAACAAAACGGGATGTATCAACGTTCTATTCGCCGACGTTGGGTATGCCCAAGAAGTACTGCTTGGCGACCTACAAGAATGTTCACTTTGGGAAGCGCAAACGGTATTGTTTGCGTCAGAGCCTACTCCAGACGGAGTGGGGTATAGAAAAGTCCGTCTTGGGTAGTCGTGGCTGGACCGCGCAAGAGAGAATGCTGGCACCCCGCATTTTGCACTATACACAAAGGCAAATGATTTGGGAATGCGCAGAGGGACTTGCATACGAAGCTTCGGAACAAGAAGTCAAACGGAAGACCCCTATTACTTTGACTCCCTATTCAAAGTTGCATCTCCAGTCGTTCGTTACGAGGGCATTACGTGACACAGGTCCTCCATTTCGCGGCCTCCATCATGATTCAATCGCTGCGTCAGAAGCATATTCTTCTGGGGCACCCCTGCAAAGACTCAATTTGTGGCATCGATGCCTCACACAATATTCACCTCGGCGTTTGACCGTGGCGACGGACAAGCTCCACGCTATAGCTGGAGTCGCAAGGATACTGAATATAGATGGTGAATTGGGAGATTATCTAGCCGGAATCTGGAGCGCACATCTGAAGGCTAGTTTGAGTTGGAATCGGCGTCTAGGTCCTCTCTCTAAGCCGCCCGTATACACTGGCCCCAGCTGGAGTTGGGCAGGTGTAATAGGAGGGGTGCGGCTCTACGCCCTAAGGTCTTGTGAACTGAACTTACTACCTACGCCTACGCAAGAAACGGAGAAGATCTGGGCTCGAGACTATGACTTCAAGCTGGTTGATCACCATATGGTGTTGCAAGATGAGCGCAATATCTACGGTGCTGTCCTCGAAGGATCTTACATCGTCGTAGAAGGTGCATGTGTCATGCTCGAGGGATTCCGTCAACTATTGGATATATTCAAGATCGGCCCCAAAACAGACGATCTGTTATACGAAATGAGCCTCGACACGCAAGGAGGCAACGATTCGCCAAATCGAGAAGCTGAGGAACATCTCGACCCAAAATGTAGACACAAGGATGCGGTGGACTTGCTGCAGCGTCTTTCGCACGAGTCCGTACCTTTCGACTTCTGCATGTTTCTGAGCGTGGAGAAACAGACCAGTTCGTGGAAGTGGGCTAATGTACTACTGCTAAGTTGGGTTCATTGTGAAGCCAATGTTGCGCAGCGGGTTGGGATATTGAGACTGAGAGTCTATCATGAAGAGTACGATTTAGAGTGGCTTTATCCGCTTTGGCAAGATCTCGGATGGGTAAGATGGACATTGAAGTTGGTTTGAACCATTGTATCAGGTTTACCATGCTGAGATCACAGCCGATGCCACAGACGAAATGGAAGAAGGATCAGAAATACGGGCCAGTGCGCATTTCCATCTTACCCTTCCTTCGGACTGTCTCTGCTACGATTTTATAGATCAATATCATGTGTCATTATTCATTTACGGGAACTTCTCAAAACAACCCGTTGAAGCCTCCACGTATATTGAGAGAGAAGCTAGCATCACTAGGTACAGATCGTGCAGACACTTCTATCACCCACACTCAGACTGACAAGTCGCTACGAGGAAAAGGCATGCGCTAGTTCCAAGAATGCAGGCGCTTACGTGAGACTCTTACATCCTGGCTATGTCTTAATCGCAGCGAACAGTGTACTTCATGCACGCAGCCGTTTGCAGCTCACCGGATCGTCCGAATGCGGTCGCGCATACTTTTCTTATGGGAACTTCCAATGGCGATTGTTATCTTTCGCTAGACCATCTTCTCCATGGCGCTGCAACGACAAATGAGCACGTTCTTCTCATTAGGCTCTGCCGCGGTACCAATAGAAACTGCATGAAACGCTCTGCTGGCAGTGCATACTTAGGGAGCCCATGCGCGGCTGCAAGCATACACTCTTGAGCGTGTGGTAGGCAAGAGCTCGATAGAAGCGACGGCTTGGTTGGCTTGTGGTTGCATACCTTGGGCAGCTTGATGTGGAGAGGTGCCGTGCTGCCTGATGACACGTCATGAGAGAACGACGAGGCTCTGCCTGATCAGTGGCACATAAACGAGTGCCCCCATTACAAGCAAGGTGAACGGCCACCGAAACCCTGAAGAAATTACACATTGGCGTCCCCTTCGAAGACCTAAGCAATACCTCACATTCAGCACATCATCTCCCATCAATAAACTCGATATCTCACAGAACCATGCCTCAAGTACGTACTTAGCACACCCCACTCCAAGTCTCCAACGCCCACTCAGCATAAAACTTACTACACACTAATGCAACCGTGCGCTTACTAGTTCAAAGAAGGAGACACCGTCAAGCTCAAAGGCGACGATGTAATCTACATCGTACTACGAGTTATCGTCACCCTGGGCGAGATCGCAAAGTACATTATTGAGAAAAAGTACAATCCAGTGCCTAGGGCAAATGAGTATGAGGTGAACGAGGGGGATCTAGTACCGGCGTGATGTGACGAAGATCTTGTGTTGGTGATTACCACTAGAGGTTCGAGACAGATAGGAATCGGCGTGGGCATGGTTGAAGACTACGAGGTTCCTCGAAGAGTTTAATATTGTCAGCTCAAACGCAATGTATTCACCTCGCTCCTTCGTAATAATCCCTGTTAGGTGTTCCGCTAAGATCGTAGTAGGCGTATTACTACAATGTGTAGCCTTTTCTATGCCTACAGACACTTGTCGACTCCTACTTCCTCACCCGGAAGATTTCTCTGTACCTTCTATGGCTGTACGCCTTGCGAAAGACTGATACACCAGACTATGGTCGGAAGTCTCATGGTATGACTCGGAGACCGAGGGCTGCCACGGCGGCAACAGTCACGCACCCTCCGATAACTCTCACGATAAGAACCGCGCTATCTTCTACTATTTACACGTATTTTAAATTTATTAATCTAGTATTACAAGTAATAGTATAATATATAGAGATAAGTATAAGTATAAAGCTTCTATAGCTTACTTATAATTAAATAGTAAATAATATAAAAGCTTAGTATACTAAGCTTTTAAGCTAATATTTTAATATTTTTAATTTTTTTACTAAAAAAATACTTTAGTACTATATACTATTAATATAATACTTATTTATAAGTATTTATTAAAACTTTTATAAAAAGTTAGTACTAAAAGTACTTTAAGTATATACTAAGTATAATAAATAAAAGTTTATAAAAGTATTTTTCTATTTTTTAATACTTACTTTACTTACTATATTAGTAAGTACTTTTTTATTTTTACTACTACTACTACTACTACTACTACTATATATTACTATTTAAATAAATATTTATATACTTTAATAGCTATAAAGCTTTTTTTAAAGTTATATTTTTAATAACTTTAACTTATTACTTATAGCTTTTACTTTTCTTCTTAATAATAAAATACTTTTTTTATAGCTATAAAATAAAATTAAAAAACTTTATAGCTATAATATTAATAATAACTTAGCTTTAGTATTTAAAAAATATATTACTAATATTAAATAAAGAATAAGTACTAATAATATAGTTATAGTATAAATTAATATTAAAAAAGCTTATATTATTTTATAAACTAGCTAGTATATTTTTTAGTAAGTTTTTTTTTTTTACTAAAGTAATAAAAAAAGTATATTAAAAAAAGTTATTAAGTATTAAATTAATACTTTTACTAAGTTTTAATAAAAATAAAGTATAAAAAAAATTATAAATAAAAAAATTATAAACTTTATAAAAAAACTATTTAAAAATAAAAATAAAGCTTAAATAGCTAAAGTACTATATTAGTATACTTAAGTTATAAGTATAAAAATAAGTAAATAGTATATATTACGCTAAGAATAAGTAAAAAAATATTAGTAATAGTATAGTATTAGTTATTAATTAAAATACTATTAAATAAGTGTTAATTTATTCTTTAGAGTTTCTCTTAACTAGGCGCTACTACCTCTACTATTTACACGTATCACGATACGACTAGACCGTCCAGCTTGTTCCACAAAAGGTTCTGTGCATTGATCCCGCACGAGGCTAACTCCCAGACGCACTATCGTCATACGATAGACGTCGAGTATCCATATACCACCCACAGCAGTATCTTTCGATCTCCGGAAGTGGATTCGGGTTCAGATGTCGTTGACGCGATCTGACCTAGGTCCTGTGAACGCTGTGTCCCAACAGGACTAGCGATTCGTTGTATGTGAGCTCGAGTGGCCTCAGCTAAAGGCGCGGACGACGGCGTTTCTGGCGCGTGACTGATCGCGGGATCATCAACCTCGCCTGTTGTAGGCGAAAATGCATGAATAGAAAGATCCCCGGGACTGTGGTTGCCATGCACATGGCCGAGTGGGTCATTTGAAGCACAGCGAGGGATAGCGGACACCGCGGGAGGGACTACCGACGCGTCGGTAGCCGTCGGGAGCAATGTCGACGCATTCGCTGGAATTGAGGTAGCCCGCGGTTGACCAGGGCGCGCTGCGAGAGGAGTGTTCCTAGCCGTTTCGGAGCGTACACGAGCTTTGCGACGCCGGAAAGGCTTGTTAACCGCCCGCTTACACCATTCCCAAGTCCCAGGTGTGGCAGGAGGATCGGCCATACTCAGAGAGTGCTTTGTGTCCGGGCGAGCTTGCTCAGAAACACAAGATGATGGGCTACTAAGAGCGTGCGGAGTACGAGGAAAGAGCTTAGGAACAACGAGGGGTCAGAACGCAAGGCAATCACTAAGCCTGCATGACAGCCAATACCTCAGCCTTGCCGCGCCACAAATCTTGGAAGCCTTCGATGTCATGTCTGGCCCGATGTGCACCGGTGAGCGAATCTGGAAGCGCGCGTCGCGTGTCTTGTTAGCGTAGGATATAATTTGCAGTAGTTTGACGCGAATATGCATGTAGCAAGGTATGGCTGAGCTGAAGGCAAAGGGCAAATACGACGGAGGTGTACCGCAAGACGATGAAGGCTGAACGCGAACGATAACGTCATAGGTACCACTTATGCCGGCACTCGCTGTAGAAATAAACCATATCAAGTTTATTGCATCGAGTTGCCCAATTGCCTGTCATTGCCTTACTCGACATCGACATGCTGTTGTACCTAGGTAATAAGTATACATTGCGTTAGAAAGCATCTACCTCTATAGCTTTAGCAACGTGTATGCAGCAACATACGACACGGAATCTTAGAAGATATTCACGTAGATATAGTTGCAGACTACCTAGGTAAGCTGCAATAACGCAGAGCAAGACAAGCTACTTATAACTCCCGCAATACATTACTACTGCACCCGCAAAGGTACTCCTTATCAAATAAGAGACATTGCAATTCTTAGGCTCTTGCAGACTACAAGACTTCTCAAAGACTCGAATGTCGTTGGCTTAAACGCAATATCTCTACCTCACTCCTTTACAACTACTATTCCTAGTTGTCGTGTCAAACTTGTAGTCGGCTCATCACCACATACATCACTCCACCGATACTTAAAAACATTTGTCCACTCCCACCCCTCACACCCCAAAGCGCAAAACATCCGTCGCAGCCACTAACATCACCAAGTCAAATAGGCACCGCGCAAGCCACATGCCATCGCACCACCAACAGCAACAACATCATCCCCTGAAGCAGGTCCACGAAGCCAAACTCTCGCTCCCGGGGACAAGGAGGTACTGGCAGGGCTTCCGTCATACCCCACAATACCTCAACGTCACTGTACGCTTCAACTAGCTCCCCGTTATGCCTACCGCGGGCACGGATAGGAAGAACAAGTCAAGCGCCATTGCGATACGCAAGAACAGGGACTTCGATGTCACTGTCGGACTTCTCGACTCAGACGTTGAGTACGTAGACGGCGGTGAGGATGTCGACATTTTCGCCGACTAAGTGTTGGGTGGGATGAGGTTGGAGTAGGTGCAGTACTGAGATGGGGGATGAAACGGCAGCATACTAGATACTTTGCTTATAAAAGAAGGCACTCGACCTTGAAATGAATATTTTCTTATTCTAGACCGTCTGCGCATCAATGTGACTATTCTCTTCTATCCGCGCATCGCTTAGCACTTGAACACCGCAGGTCCAGGGCTCGTATACGTCTTACTCCCCGTGTAAAGATTATACAAAATACCAGCATCATTCTGCTTATACGCACCCGGGAAAGAAACCGTCGCCGGCGTCTTACTCGCCTCACCCCCCGTAACATTAATCTGCGCACACTCCATATAAAACTGCGCGCCCATACTGCTACTCGCGCTGTGCAGCGCAATCAACTCTCCCCTCAAAAGATACTGCCCAGGCGCAATGCACTTTGGAATCGTAATCGTCTGAACACCTTTATTGGCGATAAGACGATCAACACCCCATTTCGAGCCGTCAAACGCGTCTTCGGCGATCTTGAACCAGCCGCCGCCGACGCCGGAGTCGGTTTTGGCGTCGCTGACTTTCTTCATGTAGGCCATTACGGGGCCTTTGTGGGAAGAGTCGATTACGTCCGAGGGGCCGGAGGTGAGGGTGTGGCGCCAGGTTAGGGTGGCGGTGGAGCCGGCTTGGAGGGTTATGACGGTGGAGGTTTTGGCTGTGGGGTTGGGGCCGCCGTTGCAGACTATGTCGTTTGTGGAGACGTCGTTGATGGGCTGAAGATGTGTTAGTTGGGGTGAGCTATGGGTTGGGGATATGGAGAGCGCACGCCGTCGTATGAGGGGACGCGGACACCATCTCCTACTGCGCCGCCATTGACGCTGACGAAGATTGTGTGGGCGGATGCTGAGCTGGCTGCAGCAGCAAGGACGATCGGGGTGGAGAACTTCATTGTGATGGTTGGTGTTGCTTCGGGTGGAGGTGCTTGATGTTTCAACGTTGCTGTAGCTGGGGTACTTATAAACAATGTCTTCGCCCTGACGTTCAAGATCTGAACCCAGACCCAAGGTTTACATATATTGCATGCTTGGTGATATCGCATACACATTCCCAGATGCGAACAAGCCTACATCCTGCACCCCAGATGAGCGGAGCATTTCCTTCGCGTCCACCAACCGCGTCGCGAGCCGCCGCGGCAAAGGCCTGAAAGCCGCAACGCTATACCAGCCAAAACCCGGATGAGAAAGGCCGTGTCGCTGGAGTTGCCACGCGATTATATTAAGCAATGTAGAGCGTGTGTCGAATGTTCTTAGAAGTCCTAAGCGAGGTTGTCTTTAGCCAATGGCTTAGCCGTGTGTAAATTGAAGGCGCCAAGCCCCCCGAGGATAGAGTGCCGCCCCATATAAAGAGGCTTGCTTGTGACCTGGTTGACTTGTCGGCGCTAGTGGGAAAGTGCCGACCGGATCGCGATGGATGGCTGATTTTCGGGAAGATGGACCGCCTAGGATGCGCTCAAGCAAGCGTGATATCTTGAAGCTCGATGTCTTCCTTGGCCATCACTTCGCCCTTCATAATGCCATGGACGTAAGCTTCACCAAGCAGCTCAAATTTCTCGGCAACTCCTTCGAC